TAAAATAATTACAAAATTATTAGAAATTATAAAAAACATGTCAATATTTCTAATGAGATAGATGGACCTGTCTGTGTTTTTGTATCATGTTAAGGTCCGGGTGCAGGAGGAGAGTGCAACAGCAGTTCAGTTTGTTTCTGTGCTTTGTCTTCATTGTTGTGAGCACAGAAAATCTCATGTGACAAGGCGGCAAAAAAAAAATAAAAATAAAAATCTCTTGTGACCCACCTGAGGATCACGACTCAGTTTTTGGGAAACAATGGCCCATATTACGCTATGTTCTAATGTATGTTCTAATGTTGTTTCCTTGTCGCACATTGTTTCATTCACACATGTTTAACACACAAACCCTGCATATTTATAGTCTGATTCATCATCTGGTTTCACCTCGTAGAAACCGTCTGACCTCGCAGCATTAGGATTTGTTCGCTCGACAGTAGGCAGGAACTTTTTAAATTTAACCAATCGCTGCTGTTTGGTCGTGACATATGTAATGCACCAAATCCCGTAGGAAGAAGGGCAATAACGTCTTTCTGCTTGATAAAATTCACCAAACATTCTCTTTATTCCGGCTTTAAATACTTGATCTTGGGAATCGTTGACAACACAGAATGTATGGCTCTTCGCTGATTGGCTGGTGCCTGAACTCGCACTTCTGGGGTTTTTGTGAACCGTGTAGTGTATTCCAGTGTATTATTTAGCTCATCTCTCAATCAGAAAACACTCTGTTCCACCTTGTGATGTCATGTGGTAATACAGAAAGTGCTCCACTGTGTTTTTAAACTCTACACACCTGCATTAGAATCATCGACATGATTTTAGCTCTGAAACTGTCCATTTCTAGCTGTTGAAAACTACAACTTCATGACATCACAAGTTGGAACAGAGTGTTTTCAGTTTGAGAGAAGAACTCAGCCTAAATATGCAGGATTTTTGAGTTAATCATGTGTGAACGAAACAAAACACAACTTCAGGTCTGTTTGCGACGAGGAAACAACATTGGTCGACCTTTTAAACTGTCCCAAATTGTTCCTCTTTAGTTGTGCGTCTCGTTTACATTTATGCTAAAATGTTTTTGCTTGACCTGAATGAAACAAAACACAACTCCAATTCTGTTTTTGAGGAACTAACACGGTTTAAACCTCACGAGAATTCATTTTATGTAATACAGGAAGGACCTTTAACAATATTTGGAGACGACTAAAAGGCTCAAAGTTTTACACGTTTGCCCTCAGGTTTTATTGCATTTCCTGGAGAGACATTTCTGAGTGGAGTCGGAGCCCGTGAGAAACAGCCGGGGCCCTTATAGAGCAGGAGAATGAGAGGTTTTGAGAGGCAGGTGAAACTTGACAGGTATGCAGCAGGAGAGAGCCGGGTCAAATACCAAGAACATACCAACAAGACTATCTACAAGTCTATGTACAGAGCTGGTTTACAGTTACATGCATTTGCAGTGAGGGGAGAAACTATTTGAGGAAAATATCTACAAAATAGGCTTAGACAAACTTTACTGAGCCACAACAGAAACTATTTGGACACAGGATCTTAATCCCTGTAACATTCGTTCATTAGTTTTTTTTCAATATAAAACCAAAAATAAGAAAACGAAAAAAACAACAATTTTCTTCATTATTTGTCTCCAAAACCAAAATGAAAAAAAAAACAATAACAATGCGTCAGTTTTCGTTTTTGTATTTAAATGTTTGAGTGACTTTTGTGCCACAGATCTGTGGAGAGGCGACCACCCTGAGAGGATTTTTGTTTTTATAGCAAAAGAAACACCAGTAATGAATAAATGATTATTACCATATTTTTCAGACTATAAGTCACTTCGGAGTATAAGTCGCACCAGCCAAAAAATGCATAATGAAGAAGACAAAAACATATCTAATTTGCACCGGACTATAAGTTGCACTTTTTGGGGGAAATTTATTTTATAAAATCAAAGACCAAGAACTGACATTTTATCTTGAAAGTCAAGTTCTAGTAATAACAACAGAACAGAGAACAACAGACTATTAACGTCACATATGAACAGTTCTTCAGATAAGTATAACATAAACAACAGAACAGAACAAGTTTAACAAACTCTCCATCTCACTCCAAATCACTAAATCCATTCAATTCTTCATCCTCTGTTTCACTTCTAAACAACTCCACGACCTCTGGAGGTAAACAGAGCGACGCTTCCACTTCTGTGTCGCTGTCGTCAGACTCAGCATCAGTTCCAGTTAGAATTATTCCGGCCTTTCTGAATCCCGACAGGATGGTTTCAGTGTCACTGAAGTCCAGGCTTTGTCGATTCATCCAGTGACTTCCAGGAAAGTTGCATGTTGTATCCTCCTGGTTACCGTGAAGCTGTGTTCTCCATCCTTTCGTCAGTCCCTCACAAGTTTCTCGTTCACTCCAAACTTTCTTTCTGCTGCTCGATTACCGCTTTCAGCTGAATATTTCACTACTTGCAGCAGGACAGAGGCTCTTTCTGCAGGAGACATGCGCAGTAGAGTGAAGTGACAGTTTCAAAAATTTTATATATAAGTCGCAGGAAACACCCAAACCATGAAAAAAGTGCGGCTTATAGTCAGAAAAATATGGTAGATAGATGCTTTTAATATCATACCATGGAACATTCCAAGCAAAGCAATAACATCTCCATGGAGACAAGCCAGAAAAGTTACACAATGCACCTTTAAGATGTGTACAAACATGAGATTTTTTAAAAAGTTTAACAGGTCCGATCGCACCTTCTTGGTACTAAAAATGTGTAATATTGTTTTTAAATTATTGCTTATCTGTCAAAATCTTGCGTATATGCTTCTAGAGAAATCTCTCATTTTTACCCCGTACGTTTTAAGTTTGACATTGACATTTTACGAGGTCTTGTTATTATGAAACGTCTTCCCTAAAGCTACTTCAACCTCACCACCCACCCATCAAACTTCCCATCAAATACTGACAACGAAAATATTAAGGGAGCGCTCACACTTGTCCTGGTTTAGCCCTGGTTTGAACCCTCGCACTTTAGTCTTGTTTGGTCCTGTTCTAGTCCTGCTTAGTCCTGATTTAGTCCTGGTTTAGTTCCAGGTTTAGTCCTAGTTAAGTCTGCATTTTGATGTGGTGTGTGTCCAAATATCACGGCATAAATTTGATACCAGACTAAAGAAATACAACCTGAAATGTCTAATAATAACGTAATAATTTATCATTAGCCTTAGTAAACATTATACAATTTCTGTTTGCATATCACTTTGAGCACATTTTTTACCAGATTCTGAGAGAATCTTCCTTATTGGTGTGTCTACGTAAGATAAGATCATGTTAAAAGTCCTATATTGCGCAAAATTGACTCTTGTGAGCTTTTAGTCATGTTCTAATGTAATGTTACCTCATCGAAACCTCAAAAATACCTGCACATGTTTGAGTAACACTTTATTTTTAGTCTCTGTACATCTACAAAACTCAAAAAGTGGTAGTTTTCAAGCGAATTGCTCCTTAAATTGACCTTAAATTCAGTAGAGATTGCCACGTCCAGGGCTGAAATTATCCAAATGATTCTTGTGAAGTTGTATCCCAACGTGGAACAGAGTGTTTTCTGTTTGAGAGACGAACTCAAACTCTAAATTTACAAGATTTGTGCATTAAACATGTGTGAACGAAACAAAACACAACTACAGGTTTGTTTGTGACGAGGAAACAACATTATAAAGATCAGAAAGTAGAGCAATACGGGACCTTTAAGCAGAGGTGGGACCAAGTCTTCGGTTTGCAAGTCTCAAGTCTTTGACCTCAAGTCCAAGCCAAATCCCAAGTCAAATACAGCAAAGTCCAAGTCGAGTCTTGAGTCACTGGCCCATAAGTCCAAGTCAAGTCCAAGTCGTCTGCTTTGGGCTTCAAGTCATTTCAAATCTTTGAACCAAATTACCAAATATAGCTTTGATTTTTTGCAATTTATATGAATTTTAAACTTAATTGTACTTTAAAAAAACACTGTATATTTATCTAAGAATATTTATAGATTATATAAGAGTTGTCAAAATGCTTTTTTTCCCCTTTTTAAATGTCTTGACAAGATTTTAGTGTGAATTATTACAGTGAGATTAGAAAGAATTCAGATTTAAAAATTCTTCTCAAGTCACAGGCCTCAAGTCCAAGTCAAGTCCTAAGTCACTGACCTTCAAGTCCAAGTTGAATCCCAAGTCTTAGTCCATTTTATCAAGTCAAGTCTCAAGACCTAAAAATAGTGACTCAAGTCTGACTCGAGTCCAAGTCCCCACCTCTGCCTTTAAGCGATTTAAGAGTGTTATTTAACAGGTGTATGCATTGCCATGAGTCTGACGATACAATACAGATCACGATATGCATGTCACGATTCGATATATCACGATATATCCCGATACTAAAACATAAGACGATATATTTCGATTTATCAGTAATTACTTTTATTAATACAGCCAACTGCATCTTCATGAGAACACAGTTGTATGAAATATCATGACCTGGTCCTCGAAGGGTTGACTAGATTGTGTATTCTCCCTGTGTGTCTGTTCACCCACGATAATTCTGCCATTTATGGACCGATTGTCACCAAATTTGGTACGTGGGTCAAGCCTCCGTGCGCGATGCCTCAAAAAAAAAAAGTTTGGTGACGATCCGAGGTCATTTGAGGTCACACGGGTCAATTGAAAGGTCACGCCGTTATAAAGGACAGGCAATTTCGGCAATTTCTGAACCATCTGCGGGCTAAAAATATTCACCCAATCATCACACAAGCTCTCACCGATGGTTCATGGGGGACCAGGTTGCTGTCTCTGATTGCGTTTGTTTATAAAAATGTTTAAATCATCAGAACAGCGAATGTAATTAATGAATTTTTGAGAATTGTGCAATGAATTATCACGATATATCACTGAATTGATTTTTTCTTACACCTCTGTTATTTATAATGTTTTTCTCAATTCAAAGTGCAGTTCCCATGTAATAAGAGTTTTTCTGTGTTTCAGGATCCAGCCGGGATCTTTGAGCTGGTTGAACTGGTTGGAAATGGCACCTATGGACAGGTGTACAAGGTAAGAACAAACTCCTTTAAAATCCTTTATAATTCTGTGTTTTCAGTCTTAATCTGTGGGGTTTGACTCTAGTCCTGGTTTAATCCGGACCTAATGCTGTAATAGCCGGGGTTTTGTTTTGAATCCTAGTTTTGTTTTGTTCAGGTTTAGTCATGAAAGCTGAATTACGTAACATTTCTGATGCAGCATCTGCTTCCTGCCTGTGTGTTGCTATGGAGATCTTTTTTTCACTAAAAGTTTCACTGTATTTAATTACAAATGTTTTTACGTCTTAAAAACAAACAAAACAGGGTTGCCACTGGGTGTGATCTGATGGTCTCCATGGAGATAGATAAGTTTAAAGCCATACTGCGGGACATTCTTAATCAAGAGGAAGAGGAGAGAGAGGGACAAAGTTTTTTCAATACAGAGTGAAAAGGCTCTTTTCATGCTTACGTTATAAACCAGGAAGACGTTTGGAAACATGCGATTAAAACTACCGGCGGGTTATGTTCTAGGAAAAATTAGAAAATTACGTTCAGCTCATCAACAATTCCAACCATACCTCAATTTTCATAATTTCTCCAATGACACACAACTCCGATCGCACTGGGTTCATGCGATTAGAAGAGACGAGATGATTCCAAACAACTCATACGTCTGAAGTCTTCATTTTACCGCTGATCACATTTTTACTTCAGTGGGTTTTATTACAGTCGGTCAGTGAGTCCAGTGTCGGGAACTACACAGGGAGTCGTAATCGCATGTTTCCAAACGTCTTCCTAGTTTGTGATGTAAGCCTGTTGGAGCCAGAGTAGATGGAGCCAGAAGCGTGCCCATGCTCCTCCACCCATTTATATATACAGTCTATGGCTACACCTCAAAACTATGCATAAAACCAAACTATAGTCCAGGTTATAGTCTAGTCCAGACATGTCAAACTCAGGCCCGGGGTCCAAATTTGGCCCGCGATATAATTATATTTGGCCCGCGAGATCAAATCAATATTTATTAGAGCTGACCTGCTGGCTACAGATCGGCTATAGAGACATTATTTATTTAAAATTGTGTTATTTTTTTTTTATTATGCTTGTTCTGGATTCAATGTTTAAGCAAAACTATTATTAAACATTTATTTTAATGAGAAAAAGTTTAACGCTACATATCTCAAAAGAAGAGAAAACATGCAGATGTTGTTGATATTTTTCAATATTTAGTTTGGCCCACGACATAGGCTATGTTCAGCTGCAGCCTGAAGTGACCCAAATCCGATTTTTTGGCTTCTATGTTCCTGTATCTGATCTTTTAATGACAGTCTGAACGACACAGATCCGATTTTTTCAAATGCGACCCAGGACACTTGGATATTTGGTCTCCTAAAACCGATACATATCTGATCTTTTGACATGTGACTTCAGTCTGAACGGCCAAAGCGCATTCATCCACCTACACGTTTATCAACAAGACCACAAATGTACACAAACCGTTCTTCTTGTCATACGAAAAGTTGTTAATGAACTCCGTGTCACTGATGTGAAGCACATCACCACTCACCACTCTTGGCTACGTCTCCACATCCACACGTTCCTTTCAACGGACGTCGCTGCCGCTGCCCCACAAAACACCACGGCCAAAAACCTCGTCCTTCTCCTTCTCAATCTCCTCCTTAAAATAAGTAAGTTGTTCATGTTCTGGCTCCGGTACGAGAGGAACTTTAAAATCTCCAGGTGCTTGATGCTCGTGTCCATGTTTGGACAACTTCCATAAACACAGAGCACGCTCGCTGAGGTTGATGTTGTCGTGTCTCCAGTGCACATGCGGGACACTTTCCGGCCGTTTAATGTTCACACTGGAGTCACATACAAGTCGCATTTAATTGGAAATGTGAACGACCTCGAAAAAACATCGAATTTCACAAAAAAAAATAAAAAATGAATTGCAGTCTGAACGTAGCCTTAGTCCCAGTTTTTAATTCTGACCCTCTGTGAATTTGAGTTTGACACCTGTAGTCGTTTTTGTTTCATTCTTTTTTGCTTCGTTAAAGAGGCATTGTCAAACTTTTCTGGTGGACAATCCTCCAAATACTTTTCTCCTTGGAGACGTTGTTGCTTTGTCTGGAATGTTTCACAGTATGGCATTAAATTAAACCTTTCTATCTTCATGGAAACCAAACCAGACCAAGCTCACAGTCAGAACGTCTGTTTTTCTTGGCATTTTTGAGCTATAAAACTACTTGTAATTGAATAAATCTAAGGTAAAACTGTTTAAAGTGATACTGTGGTACATTCCTGGCAGTGAAATGACATCTCCATAGAAAAAGTTACACATTGCAGCTTTTACCTGATGAACTTACTTGCCAAAATAGGAATTACAGCAGTAGTAAATCTTGTGATACTGTTAATAAATATATTCTCGTTATTTTATTTTATGATATTATATGTGAGGGACGTCCAAGTGGAACAGCTCCAGGCAGATACACGTGAAACAGCTCAATGATTTCTGTTTGTGTGAATTTAACACATGGATAATTTTGGCTGTGAGAATTAGACCTTACATAATACGGAAGGAAGGTGTGCGATGTACCAGCTAATTCTGCTGTGTCGAGTTATATGATAATTATGACATTTTTAATTTTAGACTTGACAAAATTATAGAAAATCTGACGCTAATTAAGACTAAAACGAATATCGAGAGTAGAACAGAAATGAACCTTTCTTGAAAAGCTTTAGAATGATTTTGAGCTGTATGAGAAAAAGACGGTAACTTCTAATCATTTTGTAATTATTTTATTGACAATTTTGTTCCAATATTGCTGCTTCAGTTGAGTGTTTAAAAGAAAAAGGAACAGTCTACATTTAACATCCAAATAGGTGACTTACGGATCCTTTTATTGCGTTTATTGTTTAAAACTTGAGTAATACTAATTGTTCAGAGACACGATCACTCAGGCGACAATAAAATATCCTCATTAATGTTCAATAATGTTCAAATCCAACTTTATTTTGTGATTTACGAATAATGTCGATTAACTTGGGTCGCCAACGTTTGTGACTTTTAAACTATGGGTCCCCAGAAAAAAAAAGTTTGGGAGACACTGGACAGAATCAGTATTGAGTATCGAGTCTATTTCTTAGTATCAAAATCAAGTTTGACATTTTTGTATCCTGACAACACTAGATCAACACAATCAGTTCAAATTATTATTTTTTGTTTATTTATTTATTTTTATTCTTATGCCCGTAAACATTATTAGGAGCTATAGCAGACCTGGACATTGTACAATTCCTGGGTCACATACATAGTCAGGTTGGCGCCACTCGATTTCATTTCTCTCCAGCGACTAGGTCAGGAATCAGAATACACTAGACGTTTTGCAAGAACCCCCCGGAAGTTGTAGACTGCGCCTCGGCCAACAGCAGACTGCATACATTATCCTCCTTTGGACTTCCTTTGTCAAATACAAACTTAGCATTTTTTATTGCACCTTTAATTTGCAAGTTCACCTCGCCGAAACGATAATGATCGCTGACAGACATGTTCACTCTCTGTTATGTTTGCTGTTGTGCTGGCCCTTACTTGGACACCACTGAGTGTTACGGCGCATTACATACGTCACGACCAAATAGCAGCGATTGGTTAAATTTAAAAAACAAACGAATCCTAATGCTGCGAAGTCAGACGGTTTCCACAAAGTGAACCTGGCTGATGAATCAGGCTATTTAAACTTTGAACTATTTGACTACTTTCTTTGCCTTTTCCTAAACTCACATTTCCTCAATTTATCAAAACAAAATAATTTGTTTTGGTTATAATTTTGAGGTTTTGTTAAATGTTCTGAAGTAACATTGTATTACTTGACTCTAAGGTGAGTCACTCGCATTAGGATCAGCTTATCTTTGCTTTTTTTTTTTTTACTTAGACTGAACCATGACTAAACCAGGACTGAACCAGGACTGAACCAGGACTAAACCAGGATTAAACCAGGATTGAACCAGGACTGAACCAGGAATAAACCAGGACTGAACCAAGACTAAACCAATACTAAACCAGGACTGAACCAAGACTAAACCAGGACAGAACCAAGACTAAACCAAGACTAAACCAGGACTGAACCAAGACTAAACCAATACTAAACCAGGACTGAACCAAGACTAAACCAATACTAAACCAGGACTGAACCAAGACTAAACCAAGACTGAACCAGGACTGAACTAAGATTGAACCAAGAATAAACCAGGACTAAACTAAGACTAAACCAGGACTAAACTCAGAATAAACCAGGACTAAACTCAGACTAAACCAGGACTAAACTAAAACTGAACCAGGACTAAACCAAGACAAACCAGGCCTAAGCTTAGACTAAACCAAGACTAAACCAAGACTAAACTAAGACTATTTAGTTATTAATTTCCTCAATTTATCAAAACTAAATCATTTGTTTTTGTTATAATTTTGAGGTTTTTTTTTTTAAATGTTCTAAAGTAACGTTGTATTACTTGCCTCTAAGGTGAGTCATATTAGGATCAGCTTTATCTTTAGCTTTTTTACTTAGTCATTCATCACTTATTTAAAATCATTTTCTCTGGATTAATTATTTATTACACTGTTTTTCTAACAAATTCCAAACATACTTTCTATTACTTCAACTACACAACTGTTTAACCTTTTTAAATGTGTTTCCTTTTTCCATTTAAAGATTTTATGATGAAGTTACACACAATTTTCTGGTGTAGGATAAACCACTTGCTTGTCTCCATGGTGATCTTAATGCATGTTCCAAAGTAGGGCATTACACTTAACTATCTTGCATTTGTTCATTTACAAACCAAGACTGAATGAAGACTGAACTAGGACTGTGCCAGGACTAAATCAAGACTAAAACCAGGACTGAACCAGAACTGAACCAAGATTGAACCAGAACTGTGCCAGGACTAAACCAGGACTGAACCAGAACAAAACCAGGACTGAACCAGGACTAAACCCAGGACTAAACCAAGATTGAACCAAGACTAAACCAAGAC